CAGCACTAGCACCAGCCCAAGCATAAGCACCAGAACAGGCACCATTACCAACAAAAGCACTAGCATAAGCACCAGCACCAGCATCGACGTAAGCACGGGCACCAGCTTCAGGCACCAGGACCAGCACCAGCTATAACACCAGCACCAGCACCAGATTCAGCACCAGAATCAGCACCAGCACTTGCACTAATACAAGCACAAGCACCAGCACCGGCCCAAGCACCAGCACCAGCACAAGCACCAGCACAAGCACCAGCACAAGCACCAGCACAAGCACCAGCACAAGCATCAGCACCAGCACCAACACTAGCACCAGCACAAGCACCGGCACAACCACAGGTAACAGCTCCAGCACGAGCAATAGCACCAGCACCGGCACAAGCACCAGTTCAAAGACCTGCACCAGCACCAGCACCAGCAGGGGCAGAAGCACAAGTACCAGCACCAGCACCAGCGCCAGCACCAGTACCAGCACCAGCAGCAGCACCAGGATAAAACCAGAACAAGAACCAGCACCAACACAAGCACCAGCACCAGCACTAGCACCCGCACCAGCACCAGCACCAGCTTAAGCACCAGTACAAACACCAGCATAAGCACCAGCACCAGCTCCAGCACCAGCTCCAGCACTAGAACCAGCCCAAGCATAAGCACCAGAACAGGCACCAGCACCAACAAAAGCACTAGCATAAGCACCAGCACCAGCATCGACGTAAGCACAGGCACCAGCTTCAGGCACCAGGACCAGCACCAGCTATAACACCAGCACCAGCACCAGAATCAGCAGCAGCACTTGCATTAATACAAGCACAAGCACCAGCACCGGCCCAAGCACCAGCGCCAGCACAAACACCAGCTCAAGCATCAGCACCAACACCATCACCAGCACAAGCACCGGCACAACCACAGGCAATAGCTCCAGCACCAGCAATAGTACCAGCACCGACACAAGCACCAGTTCAAAGACCTGCACCAGCACATGCACCAGCACCAGCACCAGCACTAGCACTAGTACAAGCACCATCACAAGCGCCTTTCTTTGGTACTTTCTTTTATCAGATTTATACAGATCCCTTTATCTTTATCTTTAGGTCCCTTTATCTTTTTTCCCGAATTTTAGTTCAAACCATCCCCATTCCACACTCTTACTATACATCATGGGCAAATGCTCTGCACTTTGTTTCCCCATTTTTGCTGCTATAAGCATAACCAAAAATTACACTTGAAATGCTTAGGTGCCTTACGAACTGAGCAAAGAGAACAGGGAATGACTTTTTGGAGCCATGATCTAAAATTTCTCCATGCAATCTGCTTTTAGAAACATCAAAACAACCAACTCGCAACCAGGGCCACCAAGTAGGGAAACAGGGGAAATCGCCTTTGAGAGTTTCGGGGCCCTCAAAAAGTAAAACATTTCATTTTCAAAATGCAATAAATCAAATATTAATTACAAGAGAAACTTTAAGAGGTATGCCAAAAAAAGAACAACGTTTTAAACGATGGCAAGAAAATGACTGCAAGAAATGTTCGGGAATGTATTTTAAGACAATCGAAAGCCCATGGTAGCAAAAATTTAGCAAAAATATTTCCCTCTATCCCTAGGGCCTCTAGCTCCTCTCGGCGGCACCGCTCACAACAAGTTCAAAACATAACTATGAAATTGTAGCTCTATATCAGGCTTTGTAAAAACAGTCTTTTTAATTTCTTTGGCATTTTATAGAAACTTTGCTAGGATGCCCCTTAATGCAGGCGTCCACCACTCTAGTGATGGTTTCTTCGTCCTTGTATGCACAAAAAGATATGAAACAATACGCTTTCTATAAGAATATCTAATTTTTTGATGAGCTTCAATTTTCTTTAATTTTTTTATTATGAGCCTAAGATTATTCTTAAATTAATTTTAAGCGACATGAGGTATAACCGGATTGCATTATAGTTTTAAGGACTTCAAGACCAGATACGTCTATTTCAAGACATAAATATGTCTAATTCAAGACAGCATAAAACACTTGTTTTGCTTTCCAAAAGACTCAAAAAACAAAAAACTTAATTTTTGGTGAAGTTTGAGCCTTGTGCTCTTCTTAGATTACTCTTAAATTTCAGAGATTTTTAGCCTCAATGTTCTTATAGACTTTATTCTTATAATAAAAAGTGTGTACACCATATCTGTACTGAGACTGTCCCTTCTCTTTTGACGCATTACTATAATGACAAACATGATCCAAGCTGTATCACTGCGTAAGGCTGTGTGGCGATGCCAAGTGCATTAAGGCTGCGTTTGGCATTACGCTGATTTCTTTAGTTTTCTGACAAACTGCACTGGTTTTTGCATAGTTTACAACTAATATTTTTATTTTTTATATTATTGCAAAATAACTTTAAAACTATTCTAATCCAGTTTGTCCATAGATTTGGAAGCTTTAGGCGAAAAAAATGCGTAAAGTGGCCCACTATGACTAATAACAGTTTAATCATTGCACAAAACCGTCTCAATACTGCTACCCTGGGTACCAGAGCCACAAAATTTGAGCGCTTAACTAGGGCCCCATTTTAAGAAATGTCCTCCGCTTATACACTAATATCTTCTAATTTCCGCGCTCGAATTTATGTTGCTCTGGTACCAGTGTACAATACTGCACAAAGTGGTAATTTGGTGGGGCTTCAGAAACCCCCCCCAGCGGCGACGGGCCTGAAAAATGTGATTGCAACAGGGCTACATGTACAGATTTACACTATGGCATGCACATCTATTTGCAACAGTGTGTCTGTTGTGATCGAATGTATAGGCATGCCTTACTATTTATTTTTCGTCCAGATCCGGGGTCGATAGATTCTCTCTGTCCGTTGGCAAAATCACAAAGCCTCCGAAACAGACGAAGACATGATTGACGGCCTCTTGATAGTTCTAGCCCACACGAACTTCTGAGAGTTGGATTATAAACGCCCTCATGTGTTTTTTACTAAACAATTAATTCACATTTCCGCTTGTTACTGGGTTGTTCTGCTTGTTCCTGGGTTGTTCCGCTTGTTACTAGGTTGTTCCGCTTGTTCCTCGTTTTAGCAACCTCGCCTATCTATCAGGTAAGTAGCCTGCGCGCAGTCTTTTGTTTGCTGGACATGCGGGAAATGTAAAGACTGCGAATCAGCAAACGATTATTCGTATTTGCCTAAATTTACCTATTGTCCTATGAACCAATCAAAAGCTGGTTCGGAATTCTCCGAACCGTAAAATCATTGGTTGGGACAACATTGCATTGTTACTCAGGCTACACTGCCTCGCAAGATGGCGACCGGCAGCAGCGAAGGATAGTTGGAGTGGAACGAAGACAAATTTAGAGAGTCTCTTCTGACGGTTTCTTGTTTTTTCCGAGTTACGGAATGGTACGATGATAAAGTTACCATCCTTCGCATTTGGGAAATCGCTAATTTTTCAGGCCATGCCAATCATTGCAGATCATATTTTTGAAAGACCGTTCGGTACCAGCATTTTGGTAATAATATCTCCTCTAGTCGCATTAATGATCGATCAAGTGAATTTCCTTAAGACAAAAGTCGGCCTAACATGTTTATGCTTCCCCGGAGTCGATGCTTTCCTTGGAAAGATGGCGAAAAATACTGTCACGCGATGTTTACAAGGACGCATGCATTGGAATAATTGTCGATGAAGCACACTGCATAAGTCAATAGTAATTAGTAACAACTATGTTTTTTGGAAAAAACCTTTTTTCACTGATCAGTGGGCAATTTCCGGTAAATTAGCATTTTGCTGAGTCGGCAATACGAATAATCGTTTGCTGATTCGCAGTCTTTACATTCCTCGTTCAGCAACAGCAACAAAAGACTGCGCGCAGGCTATCAGGTAAGTGGTAACATTCAATCTTTGTGGAAAATTGCAAGACATCAGAAGATATTATATGAATCTGGTTGAGGAATAGGGTGACATGCCAGGTTGCGTTTTATTAGCTGATTTGAGTTTCGCAAACGTGAATCAATGTTGTTTGCTTTGAGGCAATTTTAATACTAAGACAAAGCGTTAATTGAAGTGTTGAGATACTCGCTTTGTTTTGTACGCGAGTTATGGCATCGCAGCCCCTTTTGTGATTTTTCTAAAGGAAGAATAGTTCAAAGAGGCGTTTAAATGCCTGTCAAAGTTCTCGGAACATAAACAAAATTTTTAACATAATATAAAAAAAGGAAAGAAAAGTAAAATTCATTTTTTAAGAACACAATTCCAAGCTGCAAAAGATAGCTTTCAACGAGTGTGAGGAATTTCGTAAAACATTTTCTAAATTTTCATGAAATACATTGCCTTATTTTGTACAATACTTTCCTTGCTTCCATAGCCATTCCTGTTTACCGTATTCTATCATATTTTTGGTCCCATTAGAGAGTGGGGCTTATTGAGAAAAAGATAAAAATCCACCAATAAAAAATTGAGCTTTGGAATTTAAACAATGATTGTTTTTTGACAAATCAATAACACCTGTTATGGGCATAATAATTACAAGATTTCAATTTCACCCGAGTCGAAATCCTAGTAGATTTGCATAAATATTGGTGTGGCATCTTGAATATTTAAATTGTCAATACCTTCAAATGTATTTTTGTGTAACTCTGTCTGTAGTTGCAGAAGATTTTCCAAATTGAAACAGCATAGGTTTTATTCAATATATTTAAACTGATTACTATTGTAAAGATTAGCTGGTCTCTATATGTTTACAAAATATTTAGGGGGCGCTCATTGGAGGGTGGGTGCTGATTAGAGAAATTTTGCACAAAAGGGGGGCGTGCATTAGAGAAGGAAGCTTATTGGAAAAAATACGCTACTTAACATCGCTTCCGAAAATGGGCGTGGTCAATTTGTTGGGTGTGGTCCTTTAAACTGAGCACCGGTCAAGAAATTTCCTGGATCCGCCCCTGAGACCTTATCTGAATAAGAATAATCCAGAAATTTAGTTTCAAATTTTTAAGGAATGCAGTTCTGATTGAAATATTATGAAACAAATTTACAGCATAATACCTGGGATCTAGAAAATGCTAGGTTTTTGACAAAAGCATCAAACACACAGTATATGTGGATTTGTTTCTAATCAGTTAAATTTTTTATTTTACTAATTTCAAAGAGAGGGTTTTTGTACCTAAGAAAGAAATTCGTACCAAGATATCAAAATATTGCACAGCAAAGTTGCTTAACGAGGAGATACGTGGCATGCTAAACGCTATACAAAGGGAGGAGCCAGCTTTACATTTGTTCGTCTCTTGGTGTGAGGACGGTTTTGAATCTTTACACAGCATACCATCAGCTGTTCAGTCATTGCTCCAGTGTATTTCTTCAACCTCTCCTGTTTGCTCGTATTGCCCACCTATAGATGATGTATTCGCAGTTTTTGAAGCAATATATCGAAAGAGTCAAGTAGGACAAAATGCATCAGCTTTGCTGGTGTTTCAACGGAATGCTCTAGTTATTTTCAATACCCTCTCTGTTGTCAGATCGTCGAAGACCCCATCCCAGTCAAAAGAGCTCCTGGGGGAAGTAAAAAAAGAGGTCTACAGTCTTTTGAAAGAGCACAGCACAAACTTTATCCTGATCAAGAAAATTAATCTCAAGAGACCCCAAACGCTCCTTTTGAAATATTTCAAACACGCTTGAGCAAGGTTTGTTTCTCTTACTTGATTACTGTTTATTCGGACAAATTGATATCTTTGGGTTGCTGAAAATCATTGTGGTTTTTCGGAGGATTAGAAAATTATTTGTCACAAGTTGAGTGTGAATGGACCAGTGCATATTCATCCATGCACAAAATTGCTGAATTTAGAACGTTTTTCTTACATAATTACATTTGCTTGCATTTTCCCAGGAGTTTTTTATTTGCTATTATTGTAGGCCGGATTGATAAAAATTTGCCCGGGACAAAAAATTAGCCAGTCCGCCCCTGAAAATAGACATCTTTTTATTTATTTTTTTTGCACATAGGAGCAAGCAAATGAAACGCAACATATAGACCAAATACAGAGGTGGAGGGTCAGAAGTTATAACTTCCTGATCGCAAAAAAGTCGGCATAAAATCAACTGCAGTGCTTTTAAAGAGAAGACCCTTTCTTGCGTATTTGAATGACGAAAGTTACAATATTATGACGACAACATTTTACTAATAGAAATGAGAGAAATGAAAAAGAACTTCGCCTTACCGTTATCCACACCCAATGAGTTGAAAAACTGTAGCGCTTAGTAATGTTGATGGAATTTTTACGAATAAAGCGGAGTTTGAAATCCTTATCATTAATCCACAAAAAGACTGGATCGAGCAACCTCTATTAGGCGCCATTACAAAGGCCACCCAAAAGTCAAAGGTCAAGCACATTTCATGGGAAATCCAAATCTGTTAGGGACAGCGATGGCTAATCATGGAACACAGCGTTGCGCTTTTGGTTTTAATAAGAGAAGAAAGCTGAAAATAGACGCCGAATTATTCAGAAGTGATGGCGATGGAAGTTCAGATGAAAAATCCAAAATAAATAACAAATTGCCAAGAACTTTTCACTCGTAAGTTATCATTTCAGTTTGTGTATTTTAGGCCCGTTTCATTTGGCAAAGGTCGAGCGGAATTTGTCTCTTTGTTTCATTATATTCCACAATGTATGCAAACTTTGACTTCCAATAAATTTTATATTAGTGATGTTTTTTATTTCTCAGGTTTCAAATTGATTATGGTAAAATACAGAGATGTACAATGAATGGGCCGCGAGGAGTGGATTCATAGCAAGAATTCCAGAATTTGCTCCGACCACTTCAAGGAAGAAATGATTGACCGATCAGCCAATAATTTATGCAGAACATTTAAAACAGGTGAATCTTGAAATTGATTTTACTTAGATATTTTCTAGCACTTTTCATTTTTTCATTTTCATTTCAAAAATCTTTACACACGAATTCCTAGTCAGTTATCAAACAAAAAAATAAACTACTTTTATTACAATTACTTCTTTAATATATATAAAATAAAGATGTTGCTGTTCTACCTAGGGATCGTGTTTTGTTTAGGGAATTTATCAACTTTGCAAGAATCCTTTCAAGTTTCTTTTAAACATGGACATTGTGGGGCTCATTCTGATGTTTCTTGGAATCTCATTCCATGTTTTAGCCCAGAGTGAAAGAAACTTCCCTTTGAGAATTCCAAATTTTGCCTTGGGATGTCAATATCAAGCTGATTCCTTGTCGAATTCCTCAATATCTCTGATCTAGTAATAAATTTACCTTTTAGGCTGTCAGGGCAAAGACCATTCATCATTTTGTACGTCATTATGGCCCTGTCATATTTAATTAGATTCGAAACTGAAAGCCATTTACAGATCCACCCGTCCTCAAATTTAGCACTTTCAATTAATGTTTGAGCCCTGTCTTGAAGGCGCTGAAGATGTTCAAGTTTTGTAGCGGACAGACTTTAATTCATCACCCTATCTTAGATGGCTCTCGAAAAGTGCCCTTTAAACCCGGTCCAATTTCGACTGTGGGAGTATGTTTTTAAGTTTCCTCAACGAAGAAAGACCACGCTTAAGTTTACACTTAAGCCTCTTGTACTGCTTCTTCCAAGATAGGTTTTCATCGATAGTGACCCCGAGATATTTTACTTCATGGGCTCGTTGGAATTTTTCTCCATTTATTTCAACGTTTATCTCCCCCTGGATACGGTTAATTCGTCTTTTATGACCAATTACCATATATTCAGTTTTATTGGTGTTCAGACTAAGCTTATTTTGCCGCATCCACTCTGCAATGTTCTTACCCTTAGTTTTTAAGTCATTGCACAGTTCCTCAATGTCTTTTGCAGAGCATGTCATGCTAGTGTTGTCTGCATACATTTTTGTTGAGCTTTTCTCTAAGCATCGCTCAAAATCATTTACGTATAGGATGAAAAGGAGGGCCCAAGGCACGACACTGTCTATTATTATCGTGGTTCGGTCGTGTCACTGGGGAGGATAGTGGGCTTAGCTCCTTAAAAAGCATCGAATTGGTTGGAAAATTTCGGAAACCTCAGTAGTTTGTCGGATTTTCAAAAATAATTTTACCTTATGCTTACGCCACCCCTCCCTAAAAAAGATTTTTCTTCACAAACAATTTTTTTTCACTTTTTCTGCGTCCTTGCTGACGTTTATAAATGAATCAGAAAAGTTCAAAAAAATTATATGAAAAAACAACACTTTGCAAGGGGGCAAAAATTTAAACATCTTTTTCTCTGAATTTGGAAGAAGTGGAATAACGCAAGCTAGAAAATTCAAAAAGTGGAGTAGACTTTTATGGGTATTCAATATTTTAAATCTAAAATTTACTGATACGAGATGTGCCTGGAGGTTTAACAAATAAAATCATTTTTGGTATCTCACCACAAAACATGGTGGCAAAAAAACTTTGTTCTTCGATATGTTGTAGTTCACTTGGATCTAGCAGCCATACACCTTCATCCTTCCTTGCCCTTAAAGACAGAGGAGGCCTATTTAAGTATCAGTCAGTCTCGTTCTCTCTTTATAAATACCCCTTCTATCCCAGTGGTCATGGCAAATGATGCCACCTCAGTATGGTTGTACCCAGCCACCACTAATAGCAATGTCAAAGATTTCTACACAAAATCCTACCAATTCCTTGTGCTTATAGAGAGAATGAAACCCCTGCTATCCCAGTGGAAGTTCGGAAAAAGAATCCACAATAAAATTCAAATTGTCCAGAACTTTTTATTCGTAAGTTATCATTTCGGTTGGGTAATTTAGGCCCGTTTCATTTGGCAAAGGTCGAGCGGAATTTGTCACTTTGTCTCATTATATTCACCAACCTATCCAAAGTTTGACTTCCAAAAAATTCTATATTAGTGATGTTTTTTATTTCTCAGGTTTCTAATTGATTATGGTAACATACAGAGATGTACAATGAATGCGCCGCGAGAACTAGATTCATAGCAAGAATTTCAGAATTTGCTCTGACCACTTCAAGGAAGAAATCATTGACCGAGCAGCAAATAATTTAAAGTTGAAATTCAATGCTGTACCAACGATGTTCAAAATTTTGCAGAACATTTAAAACAGGTGAATCTTGAATTTTATTTTACTTTGATACTTTGTAACACTTCACTATCTATTAAAATCGTGGTTCGCTCGTCTGGCTGGGGAGGACAGTGGGCTTAGCCCCTTAAAAAGCATCAAACTGGTTGGAAAATTTTGGAAACCTTAGTAGTTTGTTGGATTTTCAAAGAAAATTTTACCTTATGCTTAAGCCACCCCTCCCTAAAAAGAATTTACGCAAACAATTTATTTCACTTTTTCTGCGTCCTTGCTGACGTTTATAAATGAATCAAAAAAGTTCAAAAAAATTTATATAAAAAAACAACACTTTGCATGAGGGCAAAAATTTGAACATCTTTTTGCTCTGAATTTGGAAGAATAACGCAAGTTCAAATAACGCAAGCTAGAAAATTCAAAAAGTGGAGTAGACTTTTATGGGTATTCAATATTTTAAATCTAAGATTTACTGAAACGAGATGTGCCTAGAGGTTTAACAAATAAAATCATTTTTGGAACCTCACCACAAAACATGGTGGCAAAAAAACTTTGTTCTTTGACATGTTGTAGTTCACTTGGATCTAGCAGCCATACCCCTTCATCTTTTCTTGCCCTGAAAGACAGAGGAGGCCTAATTAAGTATCAGTGAGCCTCATTCTCTCTTTATAAATACCCCTTCTATCCCAGTGGTCATAGCAAAAGATGCCACCTTAGTATGGTTTCACCCAGCCACAAGAAATAACTATATTGGAAGTTTCAACACAAAATCCTACCAATTCCTTGTGCTTATAGAGAGAAGAAAACCCCTTCTATCCTAGTACCCATGGCAGTTGATGCCACCTAGGAAGTTGTACCCAGCCATCATAACTAAGTAGGTAAGCATACGAGGTTATCAACTCAGCTGGCACTGCGCAGCAGGGTGATATGCAGGAGGAGGAGTTTGCGTAGGAGG